AAACTGGTTCTGTTTGAACATTTCTGTTTCATTTTTTAATGTTTAAGTGTGAAAATAGCAAAAACTGACGATTGTTGTATACATGTATGCTAATCCTAAATCATTTGTTTTGTATGCATGTCTATTATGATCGAGTTCAGCGGACAACATATACCGGAGATTCAGTATATAGCAACTTTAAACAAATAGGAAGGTAAAAACACACAACTCACATGAATAGTTAAGTTCGACTATTTAATGACTTGTACAAAATTATAGTAACACATTGTTTTTAATCCCATGGTGAGGTGAACAAAAAATGAAGTCAGAAGATTGAATTGGAAAGTGCTTTGTATTGAAGACATTATAGTGACGATGTTGGAATATAAAACTGTTGAAGAGGTAAATATTATGCTTGTTCTCATTAAACTACTAAACAAAATATATTAGTGTAGTTTGCTTTGCATACAAAATTTTTTTATTTAGCAGTATAATCGTGTGTTTAACAATTTGATGATTAATATGAGTTTGCATATAGTGCTGCATTAATACTACACAAGACAGATTGTTTTGATTTCATGCATTGTGTACTCTAACAAAATCAGTTCAGTTTGTCTGATTAAGTATTTTTGCTTACTTAATTTTTATATTCTGAAGTCTAAGCTTTATGTAAACATTTTCTGTAATGATGCATGATATTGGAGTTGGACAAACAACGAATGAGTAGAACCAAGTGTTCCACTACAGAAAAAGGTACTTTTATCTTTTTATGTGTATTGCTTTTGAATTATAGCATCATCACAAAACATTAGAATAGAATGTGTGTTAGATTGTAATGGAATGTAGGTTGACACCAGCAAAATATAAGTATAAGTTCATAACAGCAAGTAATCAATCTATATTGAATCTAAAAAGATTTATATGTTCAAATACTCTATGTTCACTGCTGTAGAAATATAAATTTATAATCAAAGTTTAAAGAACATTACCTTCATCTAGATTAGATTGTGTCTTTCTCCTTTTGCCTTCTTTCCTTAGGCTTGCTTGGCTTTTGCATGCACCATATGCTTTATCCATGACTCTAGGTAGTTGATTTTTTGATGCTGTATGTATTGTGATTTCTTGATGATGTTTAACGAAATTATTTAGATGGATTAATAGAATACCTGTCTATATGGAAATCTGTCTATGCTGAAGGAATAAAGAATATTAAATTTGGTTAAATCTCATCGTGGAAATCTATTCTGTTAAGGAATAAAGAATATTAGATTGGGATACATCTCATCTCATCTTAATTTAGTAGCCTTAGAATCGGGTATAGGAGTCCACAGTTAATAGGAAATTACCAAATTAGCATAATCAGATTTTATTTTCGCTTAGGATTTATTTTTATCATTAAAAATTAAGTTATTTCTATAAGGAATTAATTTCTATATATTTAATAAAAAAAGTGATATTTATTTCTATAATATATTTATTTCTATAAGGAATATCATTGTTTAAATAATATTGAAACATGATATGAAACTGATAATAGATCTCTATGTAATTAAGTTATTGATAAAACAATTGGAATAATTACCGTTTGATCATGAAACAGGATATGAAAAATGTTCCGATGCTCCAGATCGTGATGAGTTTCAACCAGTCGGACTACTCTCAACCTCAAAAAAGGTTTGTTGGATCTGTTGACCGCGTCAAGTGCATCTCAAAAAGGAACCTTAATTTTTTCTTTGTATTTTGTATTTTGAGGGCGTGTTGCGCATTTTGATAAGGTGAATAAAAAAGGGTATCAATGAATGCCCTTTTTATACACAGCGTATGTTTACATGTTTATCTCAACCGAAATTTTGGAATGATTTTGTTAGGATATAACAAAAAAAAGATGATTCTGTTTTATTTTTTAAACCCCGGATTACTAATTAGTCTGCGTGTATAACACAAAATAATAAGGATAAATAAGGATTGATTTTTGATAAGGTTTTTAAAGGATTGCTAAATATTTAGCCGCAATATAGAATGACAATTTCAAAGTGCACGACTTCTACGCAGAATAATACAGATAAATAAGGATTGATTTTTGATAAGGTTATCTTCACTTAAATTACGGAATTCCTTTCAAATTCAAATTGATCAGATTTTAAATTTCGGACTCACAATTTCAATAAAATCCACATAATCCTGATATTGGTTAATCCACCAAAGCGTGTGTATATTTTATCCAAAAATTAAGGAACGATTTTCTCCCATATTAACAAAAAACAGAATCTTTGGTGTGGAAAAAAAATCGGAATAATGGAAGGCTTTTAGATTGATTTAAAACAAAAAGAAAATCAAGAGAAAAAAAAATCAGAATTACTAAATTTTAGTTACCAAAAGTGGGAAGTCAATAGTGTTGTTGACCAATTTTTTAAAAGTTTCCACAAATGATTTATTGACCTCTCTTTTTCAATATATATAGATTCGACACATGTCAATACATAAGGGAGCATGCTCCATAGATTTACTGTCCTTGTATATTACAATTTCAGTATTCTACTTCACATGAACTTATGAGTTATAACGGGTTATTTTTTTTTTTTTTTTTTTTTTCTTTGAATGNAGAATAAAAATGGGAGGACAAGTCTGACGACCGCCTAGAATCCCGAAACTAGCAACGCTAGAAACCGAAAGACGCACAACACAAACCTACAACACTAAGAAAAACTACAAGGCTCCCACCAGGAGAATAGAGACGGAAGCAGATCCCAACAGGATAATAAGTGTGCTCCCGCTCAAAGACAGAGGCTAACTGCCCAGACCAAAAACACAAACACAACAAGCACAATCCTAATCAACAAACTAAAACACTAAACGACAAAACAAAATAGCTAACGAAACTAAACGAGCCCTTCCAAAGTGTTGACACCTAGCCGAACCAGCGGAAACAAGGCGACTGTGAATCCCGCAGCCAAACGAATCGACCCCGAAACTGCCCAAACCACTCGGTTGCCTAACGATGTCGAAACCCTAGCCCCGGAACCAAACAAGCCGCCCCGCAACACGGCCCGAACACCTGATTGTCCGGAACAGACAAGCGAGTGCCCCGGCCCCATCCCCAACCCCATCACGCCTGGAAGCTGCCCGAAGCCACCGCACTGCCGCCTCACCCCTCCTACCATCACCACTAGCAGAAGAAAGAAGAAGAAGCAAACGCCGGCTGCAAACAGCGGCAATTCCCAAATCGCCCAAAAAACTAGGTCTTCGAGCAATTGGGTCTCGTCCCACCCCCAGAACGGCACTACGGCTCCACCACACCGCTCAGCAGAGAAGTCGCCGCCTGGAAGTCCCGAATCGCAGCCGGAAAGACGACGACTGTCCGCAACAAACAAGCCCATCGCCATGGACAGCGGAAAGCGGAGCAGAGAAAAAAGGGTAGGATCCAGGCGGCCAAGGGCCGGCGACCGCCGGCGAGGCTCGATGGACACTTGGGAAGGCCGACGGCTGAGAATCAAAGGGAACTCGACGGGCAGGGAAGGGTTCTTCAGAGGGTTCTATTTCACAAAGGGTTGGCCGACGGCTGAGAATCAAAGGGTTCTATTTCACACCAAAATATTTAAGCCAATCAGAACGGCTAATAAAAAAACAAAAGAGACAAAGACCTAATACATAAAATATAGCGCTAGAATATAAATTCAGCAGTATGATACAATATTATGAGACAAAAACCTAACACATAGAATATAGTGATAAAATATAAATTCAATAGTATGAAACGTACCAAATAACTAGTAAAATAGCAGTTATAAGTAATAGTTCGAACATTTTTTTTTTCTTTTGAGAAACAATATGTTATTTAAGAGTTTGTAATGTGTGTGCATATGAAATGTATTTTTATATAGAGTGGTAAATACTAAATAACCGTTAGAAAAAAATCGTTAACTAGGTGTTGTAATTTTTTATTTATTTATTTATTATTATTATTATTATTATAATTATATTCCGTTTAACTCGAAGCCTGCTAGTTTTAGGGTTATGGCCCTGTTTGGTAGATAGCGGATTGAAGGTAAATTAGCGGATTGGACTTAATTGAGAGGTTTGACCCGTCAAATCCGCTATTGAGTCTGTTTGGTAAATAACTTATTTGATAAGCTTTTTGGGCCCAAAACTCTAATTTAGAAAAAGCTCATTAGAGGAGCTTTTTGGGGATAGAGGATTCACAAAAAAACTTTTTACTTGGAACTTTTTAATTTGTATTATTTATTTTAAAATCTATATTGGTTTATAGTGCTAATAAATAACAATATGTCATCCATATGATTAATTTATCTAGAAAAATGTAAAATTCATAACTTTTTCATCAAGTTTTAGGAAATTTAAAGAAAAAACATAATATATTTATAAATTACCAACTAAAGAATATTAAATGTTTTAATATAATATTATTAAAAGAATACACCCTAAATAATAAAATATCTTTATTGGTCATTTTGTAATGTCAAACAGCTATAAGCTTTCATCAAGTTTTAGGAAAGTTAAAGAAAAAAATAATATATTTATAAATTACCAACTAAAGAATATTAAATGTTTTAATATAATATTATTAAAAGAATACACCCTAAATAATAAAATATCTTTATTGGTCATTTTGTAATGTCAAACAGCTATAAGCTTTCAACTATTTACCAAACACTTATTTAAAAACCGCTAATGCAATCCGCTAGTCAAATCAGCTAATATAATCCGCTATCCGCTATCCGCTGATACAATCTGCTATCCGCTATCCGTTATCCGCTGATCGCCAAACAAGGCCTATGTCTTTTTATTAATAGCTCATTTAAATTAGCATTTTTTACTTTTTAGGCCCATACTATTTAACCTGAAGTCTACTAAGGTTAGCCCCAAACCGCCAGGCTACGTTTACCATCTCTATATTAGTATCGCACATAACGAAACCTAGTCATTTTAAAACCCTCGCTCTTCACCTCACACTCTGCCACTCCCATTATTTCCGATGTATCGCACATTAACATAGAGACCCAACGGCGAGGAGGGGCGGCGGCGGCGGAGGGAGGACAACATGGTCGAGATTCGGAAGAACCACCGTGAGGAGAATCTCCAGAAGAACCGCCGTCAGGGTGTCCAGCAGTTTTCTGTTCCTGTAGAAGCCACCACCGGCATCGAGAAAAAGGTAGGCGTATGATTATGAATGCATAATTGGTTTGTTTGCTTTTATTTGCTTTCCATATAAGTATTTTTGTTTGTTAGATTTTTCGGTTTGTAAATGTTTGTAGACCTGTGGGTGGAATTGGATGGTCGGACAGGCAGGGAGCCATACAAGGCCCAGGCTCATTTTTTTAATAGTCAATATCTAGTCATTTTTTTTAGATCGGTCACGGAGTTTTGATCTTCCTTATGGATGCTATGCTATGGTTGTGGTGTTCAATTGACCGTGCGGATCGGATGTATGTTTATTTTTATTCTTTGTTTTTTCTGTCAAGTAGCCAATGATTTACAGCAAATGCAAGATTGATTAGTGCCTCCCTTTTCTCATTTTCTGTTTTTTGCTGTGTTTTGAACTAAATATGGATGTGATGCATCTCGCATATCTGGAATTAACTTTGCTTCTGCCGGTGGTTTGAAATATATCATCAGAGCAGTGATTAGAACCACAAATATATTATCAATTATCTCAACATTTTAGAAACATTGACGTTTTTTTTTTTTTTGTATTTTTGAATTTTTTGTTTGTTTGTTTGTTTAGATTGTAGGTGCAGTTAGAAAATCTACCATCACTGGTCTTGAGTGTTTGGACAGATGATCCCAACAGCCAGCTTGAGGCAACCACCCAATTCCGAAAATTGCTTTCTATAGGTGATTATTGTGTTCTAAATAATTTGGGTTGTAAAGAGAACCATCTTTACTTTAACTTAGTCCTTATCATTTATTGTATCCTATAATGGACTTTGGCAGAGCTCAGTCCACCAATTCAGGAGGTGATTGAAGCAGGTGTTGTTCCCCGCTTTGTTGAATTTTTGATGAGGGAGGAATTCCCGCAACTTCAGGTCTAACAGTTGTGGTTTAAAACCCGTTTCTGATTTAGTGCTTTCTTTTCTGTATTTTGTTAACTAAATGACTTATATATATTGTTTTTAAATATTGAATGCAGTTTGAGGCAGCTTGGGCTCTGACTTATATTGCTTCTGGCACATCTGAACACACTAAGGTAGTAATTGATCATGGAGCAGTCCCAATATTTGTGAAGCTTCTCGCTTCTCCTAGTGATGATGTTCGTGAACAGGTGTGTTTATATTCAAGAGTTATTCTGTGTTGTTTCTGGAGCATTTTGTATATTATGCATACTTGTTGGATACTTTTAATAATAATGATAATAATTATAATTTGGCTACCCTATTTTACGATTTAGGCTGTATGGGCTTTGGGAAATGTGGCGGATGATTCTCCAAAATGTTGTGACTTTGTGCTTGGTCATGGAGCCTTGGGTCCTTTGCTAGCTCAGTTTAATGAAGATGCCAAATTATCTATGCTCAGAAATGCTACCTGGACACTGTCTAACTTCTGCAGAGGCACGTTTGAACAGGTTTGCTTTAAGCTTGGTTACCTAGAGCATTTTATTATTTCTTTAGATTGAAGGTCACTTTTTTAACCCACTAAAAATAATTGTTTCTATCATCATAGATAAATTCAGAATACTTCTGGTTATAGTCTGCTTATGTGATTTGAATTCAGATTTTCAAGTTTCAGATAGTAAGCTACCAAGATCTGTTATGAGTAGTTATTATGTTATTTAGTGTTCTCTAGAAATCACACTCAGAAGAAAGGCTGTTCTTGGATATAGTAAGTTACCAAGATCTTATGATATTGAATCATGTGTAATTATTGTTTACGAATAATTATTATTGTCCTTATGAAAAGACGAGGCCTGCACTACCAGTTCTCAAGCAGCTTATTCACTCGAGTGATGAAGAAGTTGTGACCGATGCTTGTTGGGCACTTTCATATCTTTCTGATGGAAGCAATGATAAAATTCAAGCTGTGATTGACTCTGGAGTATGCCCCCGCTTAGTCGAGTTGTTGCTGTTAGTATCTCTATTATTATTTTGTTATACGTTAAAAAACTTTTCTTCATTTCTCTTCTCCTTTCTTATGTTGTGGCTGATGGATGAACTAATTGTGCATTATTGCAGTCATCCATCACCATCCGTTGTTATTCCCGCCCTTGGGACTGTTGGAAATATTGTCACTGGAGATGATAGACAAACTCAGGTATGATGAACCAAACCCGTTATGTGTCACTGTTTTTGTATTATTGTTTCCACAATTAACATTTTTGTGTAACATGGTTAGTTGGCAAGCAGAAAAATACAGGACCTATATTTGGATCGAATTCACCCCTAGTTAACTTTAGTTGCTAATACTTTAATGGTTCAGAGACTACTCCTCATAAGAACCTGATTAATACTGAAATCAATTTCAACCTTTTATTATCTAAGAAATACTGTTACTGTTGCGAGTGGTATCATGGAGCTGATAAATCAATGATTTCTATGCTTTAATATATTTGGAACCCATGGGCACTCAGGCACTGTATCTTGATTAATTTGATAAATAAATCAATCATCAATGAATAGTTACTAATTTACTTTTTATTGCTAGATTTTGAAATTCAGCATTTATTTGTTAACTAATACTAATGACTAGCAATTTGCACCTGACACAAATTGTTGTGCTGCACCTGTAAAGTGTTAACTGAATTTGGCATCTTAATGCTTTGGCAGTCTCTTTTTTTCATGAACGATAGGATTTCTCATAGATAGAAAGTAAAAGAGTACATTACAGGAGGTACAAGCCCTAAAGCCGAAGGCAAAGCCAGAGAGCACTACTAACAAAGTAGGCTAAATCATACAACCAGAAAATCCACCAAAGGCAGCTGAAAGCTGAGCCCTCCATTGAAAATACAAACAAATAGAAAAAAAATACCAAAAGGACAACCAAGAATCTAACCACTGAACTACTAAGTAGACCTAGAAAGAAATCTTGGATTGTCCCAACTTCATGATCTTCTAGTCATTGCACCTGAGATGATGCATCTATCCGGTCTCCAAAGGTTTCTCGATTTCCAGAGCCACCAGAGGATATTTATTTGCAATTTATAGTTTTCTTTATTTGCACTTGAAGAAATGATAATTGAAAAGACAATGTTCTATCAAATGCTTATTTTATCTAGTTAAGTGGATTTTAACCATTTGTCATGGAATTTCTATGAATGTTTTGCAGTATATCATCAGCAATAATGCACTGCCCCGTCTCTCGAACCTCTTGAGTGGAGCTCATAAGAAGAGCATTAAAAAGGAAGCCTGCTGGACTATTTCCAATATCTTAGCTGGAAACAGTAAACAAATTCAGGTTAATTGGAGAATACTTAAAAAAATACTTCGCTGAGTTGGCTTTATATATTTTCTGTTCAAGTGTATTATTACTCTCACTGGGGTTATTTTTATTTGTTTGGATGCAGTCCGTAATTGAGACCAACATTATTGGATCATTAGTTGAGTTGCTTCTGAATGCCGAATTCGATGTCAAAAAGGAGGCTGTTTGGGCAATATCAAACGCAGCATCTGGTGGCACTCACGATCACATCAAGTGAGTTGTTTATTATCTATTTTCTTTCCACTTGAGTAGAGTCATATTTTTTTTTTTTGGGAAGGGGAATGATGGATTTTCATGAATGTGACTGGGGATTATGATGAAAATACAATGTCTAAAGTTTGATGTCAAATCGCCATATAAAAACAGTAAATTAGCAGCGACTGTAAACGATGGTTATTGGAATTGTTACTATACGGATTCTTTCTTTTAGAAAGTTATTTATATAGATGAGATTGATGAAGGAGAAAAATGGTAATGAAGTGAATAGTCTCGTTTTTTTTCTAAAATTTCCTTCGCACTTTTGGGAGAAATTTTCACCGGCCGAGTGAAATAAAATTTTCTTCATGTATTAATAGCAGCTTTTGAATATAACAGGTACCTCGTGAGCCAATGGATTCAAACCTCTGTGTGATCTTCTGGTTTGCCCGGACCCGAGGATCGTGAGCGTGTGCTTAGGAGTGCTCGAGAACATTCTGAAGGTGGGCGAGAAGGAGAAGGATTTCGGCCACACAGGAGAAGTCAACCTCTACGCGCAGTTGATCGATGATGCTCAAGGGTTCGAGAAAATCGACAACCTTAAGAGTCACGACAATAACGAGATTTACGAGAAGGCTGCCCAGATTCTCGAGACATATTGGTTGGAGGAGATATTCAAAAAATATGTAGATTTGAAAAACCCGTAAACCGACCTGGATTGGATAGTTTGTTTATACACGTACACATGGCTTTATGTAATAGGTTGGACTATGTTACCTTGACACGTCTATACTTCCACGACTTTCCAATTGCTCCAGTCTATGCATTCTCAAATTACTTTTAATTTGTCCACGTTTATTTATTTTTTATTTTTTCAAAATTTCACCCTTTATTAAAATTATCTAAAAAAATATATTTATTTTTGAAAAGAAGAAATTCAAGTGTTACAATTTACAACCTCAAATTTAGCTAAGAATATATAGTGCTTACAAAAAATAAATGTTATATATATATATATATAGGGATGAGTTCCGGTGAGAAAGAGGGTCAACGAAAGAAATAAGAAAACATCCTGTTATATATATATATATAGGGATGAGTTCCGGTGAGAAAGAGTGTCAACGAAAGAAATAAGAAAACATCATGTCCATCGGATTGAATTAATGGCACGCACAACGTTCTGTCACAGCTCATAACTACAAAAGTTTTGTAATTTACACACAAGTTAACCTACGCAAAACACCACCACTTTCCCCATACCTCAGAATTAAATTTGGGGGAGAAACAAAATCCCACAGTTCGAGCTCAACTGTTGGTCGATTTTACGGCTCGTGTCATTGCCTGCGACGTGAACAATTACCAGATCGAAGTCGATGCCGGACAATCTTCAAACAACATCGTCGAATCTCGCGTTGAAACCTTGAGGAGCTTGCTGTGCGAAGATTCTCGTATTGAGCTCTGACTAGTGCACCGGGAGCTGATCGATCAAGCAATTTTGGGATTTTCTGAAACGCATCTCAGTTGATTGATTTACAATTGAATCTGCAGCAACATATGGATTTACTTGGCACACAACCTGGTATGTAGAATTTGTCACTGTAATTATTGTAATTATATATATATATATATATAAATAAAAATCGAATAACTTGCAATTTTCCAATACGGGATACAACGTGGTGCTTAAATTTGGATTATATATATACGTTTCTTATTTGGAATTTCATGTCTGAGGATCTTCTGCTAACACTGTTACATTACCTCAATGAGTATTCGAATGCTGATATATAGTGCACTAAGTATACAGTAAAGTGCGTGATACTGTACCTAAATGTGCACTTTATTCACTTGGTTAATCTTTCTCATGAATTGTTGCAGTGTCAGCCCCAGCAGAACCATCAAAAGATCACCAGCTACTAATAACACCTGGGGGCACTAAATACTGGACCCCCAAATGTGAAGACGCAATCCGACCTTGGAAAGGACAGCAGTTTAACACGTTAAATGATGCTGTTGATTTCTACCGAACATATGCGTCTGCGGTTGGTTTTGATGCCAGACAGAGCACGTTAGTGAAAGCACGTGATAATAAGACTATTCTTTGGAAATACCTGGTGTGCTCACGGGAAGGCTATAAACACCATGGGGACACAAGCCAAACAGTACCCAATGGCAGTCTTATGCAAAGGCGTCGGGTATCCAATCGGGTTGGATGTAATGCTCGAATCGTGCTGCGAGTTAGTGAAAGCGAAGGCTACGTGGTAAGATTTTTCGAAGAACGACATAACCATGCTATGGTCCCGGAAGATTGCAGAGCCCACCTGAAGATCAATCGAACAATGACTGCGGCACATCAAGGCTTTGTTCTCAATTGTATAAAAGCCAATATCGGGCCTACTAAGTCGTACAAGCTGTACAAAGAGATGGTTGGGGGTTATTCGAATATTGGCGCCACCAATGTAGACTTCAAAAACTTCAAGAGGGAACTCCTTGCATACATCTCAGGAGCCAACGCTCAGATGGTTATAGAAAAATTTTATAAACGTCAGGAGAATAGTTTCGCCTTTTATTTTCAATATGAGTTGGACGAAAGCGACTGCTTGCGGAGACTTTTCTGGGCTGATCCGATATCAAGGCTAAATTATGGCTCATTCGGGGATGTTGTATCGTATGATGCAACTTATGGAACCAACAGGTCAGTGGTTTTCCACATGTATAGATACATCATTAATAAAGTGCTCATCAGTGCAGTATAGGAATAGATGCACAATATATATGGACAGCATAATACTCACAAAAAAAAAAAAAAAAAAAAAACGTAAAAAAATGCTAAAAATCTTGATGTCTACAATATGATACAACCACAAAAAATGCTGATGCCTGTTAAACTTATGTCTTGCAGATACAATATGGTATTTGCGCCTTTCACATGGATAGACAACCATAGCAAATGTGTAACCTTTGCAGCTGCTTTGGTATCAAAAGAGGACGTTAATTCATATGTATGGGTATTCAAGAACTTCAAAAAAGCAATGATTCAGGAGCCCAACTATATAATCACAGACCAAGATCCCTCGATTGGAATTGCTTTCACAAAGGTATTCACTAGTAGCAAACACCGATTTTGTATGTAGCACATAATGAATAAACTGTGCGATAAGGTTGGCCATTCCTTAACCAATGATCCCAACTTCAAACGGAGGTTGAATGAAATTGTCTAGTCTCGGAACATAGAACCTGCTGAATTTGATTCTAAATGGGCTGTTGTAATGCACGAATATTCGTTGGAATCCCATAGTTGGTTTATTGATCTGTTTGCCAAGAGAGAGCATTGGGTACCAGCATACTTTAGAGATATAAGAATGAGTGGGCTAATGAGGACTACGTCTAGGTCAGAAAGCGAGAACAATTGGTTTAGTAGCTTCACGAACAATCGTTCTAGTTTGGTGGAGTTCTTGTTACATTTTGACAGTGCGATGGACGCACAACGTAACACGTCAATGAAACTACAGTGTGACAGTGAAGCTCATATTGCTGAGTTAAAAACACCTCTATCAATTGAGAAGTCAGCCCTACAGGTGTACACGACAACAATATTCTATCATGTGCAAAATGAGATTTGTGATGCGTGCTACAAATGTATGGTTGTGCAGATTTTCGAGAATGATGGCCACATGTCATTTATGATCAGAGATAGTGACGGACAGACATTTACAGTAATGCATGATGTCAGCCTTAATACATCAAAATGCCCATGCAAGCACTTTGAGATTTATGGATGGTTGTGTAGGCACGTTTTTGTCGTGCTTAAGAACTTAAACATAGAGGCAGTACCACCTGATCACATCATGTCGAGGTGGACAAACCTCGCTCTTAGTAACCCTATGTTCTGCATACTCGATAACATTACCGAGCAATGTGCACGTCAGGATGAAAATAAGTTACTTGTTAATAAGGTGTGGTCTGACATTCATGTATGCATGGGATTGGTTGAGACGCATACGGACCGACTGGTCGAGTTTTCCGCCATTATTAGAGAAACAAATGCGCAAACTCCTGGCATACCAGGACGGTGATGCGGCAAGAAACTCGACAAAGTGCATACTAAGTTGCACAAATTTTACAAATGCAGGAGCCAAGACGGTAGATATCTCAGACGAAGTGCGACACATTGATTCCTGTGTTGATTCCGTTGTCATTTATATACTGCACTGTTTGGCTACTTCCGTATTTAATATCAATATTTACAAATATTATTTATGTATTGTCGTCACATTCATATGTTTAGAAAGTGGTATGAGACATGTCGTGTTGTCATCACATCACGTTCATATTTACAGACGTGAACTTATTTTTATATTGTGGATTTTAAATTCATACGTACTACCGGCGTGCACCATATTAATGCATATGTGTGATGTGCATAGTATTACATTAGTCAGCACATTTGCACAACAACACACGAGACATGCACGTTATAGTTTGGTGAGTTGCACTTTCTATATATATATATATATATATATGATGTCACAGCTTATCAAACACTGCTTGAATTTATAATGGATCATCACAGCACACACACACAAGAAAGAAAACCTTACAATCACTATGACTTCAATAACCCAACTACATATGACACACCCATAAAAACGTGGTATATATTAATTGTTATTTTGTGCACAATATGATATACACACTGCACGATATTTTGATAAGGGCTGCACGGTATACAAACACAACGCGCACGACATCATAACTCTAAATTTTATATTGTTGGCGATACTACTACTACTACTAGTACTGATAATAATAATAATAATAATAATAATAATAATAATAATAATAATAATAATAATAATAATCATAATAATAATAGCGATTGTATCAATGTAGATACACATATAAAATGAATTTGATATATGTGATACACACGTATTGCACAATAGCACCTACGCGATTGCACAAATATACACAAAAATATGCACATTTATATTCCCCCTTAATCACTCTGAAAGATACTTCACTGACAAAGAAATACGACACTGAACATATATACACACGGGTGACAACATGCGTCCATCAGGAACCAATGCACATCACCTACAACTTTAAACATTCATAATTCTTCGTGTTACCAACACGAGTACTAATCCAGGAGCTTAGATACCGAAAAGTTTCAACATAACAAGTACTAAATCCACCAAAACAAGTGCTAATCCACTAAAAAGAATCGCCACATATACGTTTCAACAAAATACAAGCTAACATTATCCACATAATACCAAAACGGGTACTAAACCAACAGTTTTGTCACCCACACATTCAACCATCAATCAATCACGCCGACTTACGACTCTTCATCTCCAAATACAAAGGACGAAATTTCATCGCCTCCATGAGATTTAATTCCTTTATCTCGTTCTTCGGTGCGCATGCTATGACACAACTGTATCTCTTCCTCATGAGCTTCAGCTGGGCCTTGTCGTCTCTCTTAATCAGTGGACTCCAACTTTTACCAAAACCACCTTTGAAGAACGTCTCCATGTGACGCATCGTAATCACACCAACATCTGCCTCATCGACCCCCTCGGTCCTAGGTGCGCGAATGACATTGGGAACAGTCAATGTGATTGATTTAGACCTCCTCACCAAGCTATTCTCAGTTAGATACTTTGCAAGCGATTGTTTTTGTGGGGAACAAAAAAAATAAAATAAATAAAATAAAAAGAAAAAAGTGTTCATAACATAATAATCGAACTAGTGTAATTACACCAATAGGAAGCATTACCAACAGCATGACACGAGACATGAACACTTTCTTCACACCGTCATCTTTACAAGTACTAGCACTATTCAAAATACCGAGCTTTAGAAGATCCGGCGCAATGCACAATAAGCCCGAGAAAGCCTCCGAGTGCACAGGAAACAGAAACTGTAGACATTGATATGAAAAAAAAATAATAATAATAAATAAATAAATAATCATGAACATCAGAATATATTGTTCGTAAATTTCATGAGTGTTAACAGGTATTCGCTTACCATCGATATCTTGTTTAATTTGTAAGTGGACATTCGTGCAATTTCCAAATCTAAAGTTTGAGCGAACTTTTTATAAATCAAGTCCTTCCTCCGTTTACCACCGTAAAATAGCTGCAATTGACAATCATGTTCACCAATGCAAACACTTAAGATATCATTAGCATAATGAACAATAATGTACCTCATTACACGGGGACGTAGTTGCATAAAAACATGCTGGCGCGGCACGACTTTTGAGCTTCTCGTTATAGTTCAGAATGCACGACCACGCGTCCAACAACTCTTTTGAAATGGGTGTATTTGGAAGCAAACATGAAACGACCTGCTTCTTCACAGAGTATTCCGAATATTTGGGATGTTGAAAAAGGATGACGCCACTGATCGCATGTGTAACCGTGCCTACGTTATAAAGAAAAAACACATAGAAATTAAGCTTAGAATAATACACGTACGTACACAATTATAAAATCACCTAAAAATTTAATACCATAAGACGTTGTGATGAGGAAAAAAAAAACAAACGAGAAGAAAACAGACAAACATACTCATCATGGACATCCTTCTTCAGTGTCCAATTAGCGATCATTCTCTCGTGCTCGTCGAGTTTCTTAGTCACGTTAATTGTCCTCTCTATAAAAGGAGACTTGACTGCACTTGTTGCCCTAGTACTCCTTTTCGGCCTCGGCGACCCATCCGAATCTGATGCCTCTTCTGAAAAAAGAAAAAAAAACCAAAGCAAGTAAAAGAATACGTTAATAAATAAATATATACATGCGTGCGCGTGTGTGTGTGACTCAGTACGACATCAACATCAACGATTACAATTAGTACATTAACAGTGCTATATATTACACGTTTATACCTATAGTAACATACTTATCGGGTTCCAGGCCAGAATCTTCAACAATCGCTGCCTTGTCAGTCGACTTGTCAGACAATCCAACTGTGACTTCGCATATGAACAAACAAACATATTAAAACAATACAACGATTATATATATAACCAACACGCCACGAACAATACACCTACATTGATGAAACACTTTACTTCACTTACCTTTTTGCACATCAACTTCTGTTTGCATCCCAGCAGCCGGCTGTTTATATCCACAATCGCTCGTATGTCGATGTGTGTCGTCGGCAACATCATCGGCATCATCGTATGAAGATAAGCCCAAGCTGAAACTAGGGACATCGCATTGCATTCTCTTGAAGCGATCCCGCTGTTCGACTGCTTTCATAATCTCATCTATCGCAACTAACGTGTCAGAAGCATTCCAGAATGCGTCATCGGCTAGCTGGGATGCAACACCGTTCACGTAGTCCTTCGACACATCATCTTTTTGTGCACATGTTTCACGAGGCTGACTTGGACCAGGATGGTTGGGATTAACATGTGTGGCACCTCAATATACACACCAAGAAGCTTCTGAGCGGCCTCGTGTATTTTCACAAAGTTCACATCTCCTAGAAGAACATGCGGCGCCTTTTCAACCAACTGTAATATTTCAACTCCGGTGGTGGCGAGAAGTCGAGTTTTAGAAGCAAACTCCTGAACGATGCCTGCATATTAAATCAATTCGTTAATGCACATTTCTGTCAATCAGGATGCACAAATGTACAACATATAGTGCACGTTATATTTTTGATGTTCCTCTGGCAGATTTTGATAATGCACAGTATGTATTTGGGAACATATAACAAATATTAAATGACAAAATAGTGGTCATGTCAATATGAAATCAAATTGTCGCATTCCTATAATATACACGATTCGTATATTAAAACACCGACTGCATATGTGTGATTGTGCACATTTAATCATATCAAAATGCACAAATATAAATATAAATAATGCGCATTATATATTTTTGGGTTTGACAAGCAATCTTGTGATGCAACGAATACAAATAAAATCGACGATTGTGTATAAATGTGAAACGCAACCAGGAGACACAGAAAAAAAAAATAATAATAATAAAAAAAAGGAAAAAGAAAAATGATCATTCGAACCGTACATCACGGTCTACCTGTACACAGTGTCCCTCTGTCACACCAGCAACATCACTTGCACCGTCATATTTCAGTCCGCTTTTATCCAACCGGCGACTATCAGCAATCGAACGGAAGTCTACATCCACAAAACCTCTACCAAAAGCCCCCGAAACAATCTCGGCGCGTTCTCTAGCTTTTAACGCCTCGTTGCTCCATGATCTAAACACCGGGAAATGTTCGTGTGACTGATCGCACGGACAGTACAACCTTGTCTACATAGAACAACTGTTCCACACACAAACAAACATACGATTACTCGATTAGTATGATAACATACAGACATATAAAACGAATAAACAAATAGGAAGAAAGGTAAGGGTAACAAAAAAAAAAAAAATGAAACAAAATGAATAAAAGAGAAGTAGTGACTGACCGTCAAGAACAACAAAGGCCCTGTATACTTCTTTTGTTTACCAATTGAATCCCACGACCTCTTTGTTTCAACTAAGCATCGGATCATATAGGAGCACCAATTCATCTTGCTAACCACAGACAAATCATCAAGCATGTGTACTAAACGAAAATTTGCCATTCCGTTTAAACAACTCTCAAACAAACATGACACCATAAGGACAATGAAATGTCGCTTGAACCAGTCCCCGCCATCCTCACATTCGTTCATCTTATCCAGCACCTTCGACGCCGTAATGTTCGTCGGTTGTGTGACGTCGAACAGTGCAATCCACTCATCCAACAAGTTAGATTTAACTCTCTTTTGTTTATTCTTAATTTCAACCTCTCCGCGAGGCAACCCAAACACAGCATACACGTCGTCTTCCTTAACGTGTACCTTCCCACCATCATACAACTGGATCTTCCGGTCTAGGTGGTTGAAATTTTCTACTAACCAAAATCCTAGCTTTGATGGTGTTGTTGTTATGCTCAGTTCCAACAAGCACCCAAAACCCATCTCACGAACTGCGTTCTTCTTGACATCTGAAAGGTTGGATATCGCCTTCATGAGTATAGCAGTTGAAGACCTCGTAGCCACTCTCAAGAACACGTCGTCATCATTGTTATCCACAATAATATCAGCTGCCTCACCAACATCATGTTCGACTACAATATCGGTATCAGCCATTTCACTTTTACCCTTAACTACAAAATAACAAACAAAGGTAATATCATCAAACGCCGACTGTGGTATGTAAATATATATATATATATATATAATTCCAGACAAAGGTAGACACGCACCATTCTGATTTTTTGTGATTTCTGCCAGGCAGCATTGAGGCACGTCATTAACAAAATCATCACTGTCGGTTTGGATTGGTTTGCGTGCACCACATTACGAACGCTTCGGCTTCGGGTGGTCACCGACGCGTTCTGGTTCATTTAGAGGCCTCTTTTATCCTGTGTCGTACAACACACAAGGGTTCATAACATTCATGTAAAGCACAAAGATCATTAATAAATTAGACTAACATTAGAATAACAATCTCATTAGTTCATAAATAATTACCGTCTTGTTTGTTATTATGATTCATGGACGTGTCGCCTTGGTGTAATAAGGGAAGGCTTGTGCTATGTCGAGCACCATATCGTTTTTTTGCAAGTTCTGACAGGGGTACATCGTCAAGGTCATCGTCACTAGCATTTTGGCGCGTTATGCGTTCACCAGCTTTTGAATGCTTCGGAAGGTCACCAACGCGTTCTGGTTCGTTAAGAGATCCCTTTGACATTGGGTCTGTAGAGTGCAAATGGATTCATAAACACACATATAAAACACAAGGGCGTTAATAAAATAAACTACATTAGACTATCAATTTCATTCGTTCGTAGATAATTACCGTCTTGTGCGAGAGCATGTTCAGTGGTCGTGTCGTCTTGCTGTACTAAGGGCAGCTCGTGCGATGTCGAGTTCCATAGCGTTTTTTTGAAATTTCTGCCAGAGGTACATCATCAAGGACATTATCACTATCAGGCTGGCCCATTATGCGTGCACCAACATTTGAATGCTTCAAATAGTCACCGACACGTTCTGGCGAATCGATCATTCTATCCAACGTCGGATCTGTACATCACACAAGTGTTCAGAACACATATATAAACCAAATAACGTTAATAAACTAGGCAGACTTTAGAATATGGATATTAACATTTCATAAATACCTACCTTCTTGTGTGTTATCGTGCTTTGCAGACGTGTCGCCTTGTTGTACTAACGACAGTCTTGTAGTACGACGGGTGACAGGCCGTTTTGTTTTACTATCTGCTAGGGGTACATCATCGACAAAATCGTCGTTATCAGGCTGGCTCGATATGCGCGCACCAAGTTTCAAACGCTTAAGGCGGTCACTAACACGTTCTGGAGTATGGAGGGTTTTCTCCGACACTGGATATGTACAAAACACGATTGTTTAGAAAATGCGTATAAACCTAAAGATCACTAATAAACTAGACGAAGATTACAATATAGATATGAATATTTCATAAATAATTACAATCTCGCGTATTAACATGCTTTGCGGGCGCGTCTCTTTGACGTACTGAGGGCAATCTGGTACGGCGTCGAGGCACTAACAAGAGATGCAAAAAATTACAAATAATACAACACAAGGTCAAAGAAAAAATGCATAATCATACTGATAATATATATATATATATATATATATATATATATATATTCACTAAAAATTATAAAGTGAAACATACTAAACTATGAAGTGCACCATACTAGAATGTACCTCCTTCACCATCATGTGTAATCCCATCACCATTATGTTCAGGTACAGTACCAGCCATCTTGCGGGTAGTACCTGCACAAAAAATTCTCATCAAACATACTCTTCACAAACTTGTTTGTTTTAATTGTTATAAGAAGTCTTTAATATAAGGCAATTCGCAAAAAAAGAAGCTAGATGTCAGACATACGGTTTATTTGTCGAAGATGACTACACTTATAGCAAGCAAGCTGAACACGTGGGTTGTGTATAACACTATATAATTTCACCCAAATGACGACAAATTTCATTTTTGGTCCTATAACTTGGCCACAGTCCAAAAAACCACCCCTATATTGACCACTTTCAATTTAGGTCCTATAACTTGTCAATTTCATCATTTATGGTCCTATTTTATCCCACCCCGGGATAAAAACATGACATAGCAATTTTTTATCTGACATGGAGTGATTGTGACTTATGTGGCGGGATTAGAAAACTTTGACTTCAAAATTCAATGATCCAATCAAATTTAGGACTTAGGTGCAACTAATTAAAATTATTAAAATAGTCCTTATAACTTATTATATTTTTCAAGATGAGCCCCTATAATTATAACTTATTTTTACGCCGCCGTCGGCCGCCTCCCGCCGCCTCCGGCCAAACTTGCCGGATTTTAAAATTTTTTACGTCATCTTGTAGCTCTTCTCCGGGCCAACAACATATCGAAATTTCACACAAAAATTCCGACGGTAAGGCTTCCAATTTCCGGCCAAAACTTGTAGATCTACAAAATTTTTTCGGCCTTCTTTTACAAATTTCCGGTGATCCGCTTTGACCCACGTGAATCTGAAGGTACCTCCAAACTCCTCTCGCCGAGCCGCATCTAGTGACATCCACCGTTGCTGGAACCGATGATTTTTTTCCAGCAACAAATTTTCCGGCCATCTTCTCTGCGAGCCACCATATATTCATCTTCTCAACATTAAGCGCGCACAAGTATATTCATATAGTTGCATGATATATGGGAAAAGTTAGTCTTTGAAAAACATGCTTGATTAGTGAGGACGTGAGCTTTTCAATTTGCAGACTTTTTCGTGGAGAAGGTGGAGCAACAGTGGTTTGGGAACATGGTTTTTTTTCCTTTTTACTTTCCACTTTGGTTTTAATTTTTTGTTTAATTTTTGTTTTTAATTTTTATTATTTCCACTTTGGCAGAACCAATTTTTGGTTAATTCTTTTTTTTTTGAAAAGATTTAATCCAAGTGTTATTTCCATTTGGCAACCAGGATGCCGAATCATGCCAAAAAATCCTAAATAGATCTGACTAGGCGCCACGTCATGTTTTTATCCCGATGTGGGATAAAATAGGACCATAAATGATGAAATTGACAAGTTATAGGACCTAAATTGAAAGTGGTCAATATAGGGGTGATTTTTTGGACTGTGGCCAAGTTATAGGACCAAAAATGAAATTTTGCCCCCAAGTGACAAATGCATACTTAGAACAGTCTTATACAGAATTTATAACTATGAATCTCAAAAATAAGTAACTCAAGCCTTTATCTCAAACTAAACTAACTCAACCATATCCAGGACCCAAACAAAATTAGAGGTCACCCACACAATGGATAACCATACTAAACATAGACTGTGGGTCTGAATTTGTAGATAAGCTCGTGCAGTGTATGTATAGAAAGAGATTACCTCTGAAATCAAAATTTTCACATATAATCAGTGGAAATTTAACATTCAAATTCTAGATAAAGAATAATTAGTTGAACATGTAAATAACTGCAAGCAAAGGTTTAAAAAGGAAAACAGACACTAAAAAACAAGGCATAATATAAAAAATACACCTAAAAAAATGTGATTTAAATCTCAATAGCAGCAGAACAGAAAAATTGCATTAAATCNTACAATGAAACCTCTGAAAAAAGCTGGCTAATCGACATGATCTTGAAGAAAAAACTCACCTTGTTTCTTCGTTTGTGGAGTATTACCCATATTCTGAAACTGACGAACCGATTTCTCTAAATTGTACGAGATCCACCAATTAATCACCTCAAAACTTCAACAAACAACTGGTATATGCATGCCCGTTACTCGCACGATGAATCTGCTGAAAAATTGAGCTCAAAAGACCATCAAAAGTTGTGAAACCGCCACAATTATCCAACGGGCTCTTTCATCAATGCTCATGAATGACCTAGGTAGTAGACGCAATTAATGGGTCTGAAAAATCGACCTATACCCCCTACTAATGGGATGAAAGACAACAATACCCTCGAACATAGTCATTTGTCCGTAAAAGTTTATATATTCACGACTATGCCACCGCGTGGTCAAACAGAGCTGAAATAATGTTGACTGCCTGTGAACCATTGATTTAACAGATCGGATGGAGCACAAAAATTCTCATTTCTTTCATTATCCCCTCATTCTTATTTGATCCTATTCCTATATATATATATATATATATATATATATATAGAGAGAGAGAGAGAGAGAGAGAGAGAGAGAGAGAGAGAGAGAGTTATGATCCAATGAGAATGGTAGATAGTGAAAGAAATAAGAATAAATCTGGATCATTGGATCAAGCACCTCAATGGTCATCAAGTCAAAACTTGGTCAATCATTAATTGCAATGTGGTAATTTAACATACACATTATGGTCAAATATACATATTTAGCATTAAGTAGGGATAAACTAGACATTACACATCCCAATGGGTTGCACCAACAACCACCCACCACATTTACTCTCTTTCTCTCTCTCACAATCATTCCAAAAACACACAATACACACACAACACACACACACACACGCAGAGAACACACACACACGCACAACAAATCGGCACCACCACCTGCCGCCGCCGTCTTCTACCCGCTGCCAGAAACCGGTCGTCCAATCTCGTCGCCACCGTTCCCAACCACCGTCTGCAGATCAGTCCCGTCCGTCTGCTGCCCCACCTGCACAGTCTGACCGCCGTGCATCCCCAACCTGGCCGCGCAATACCTCAATCTGACGCCGCGCATCTTCAGCTTGGACGCGGCGACTCCGCAACAAGCCGTCGAGCATATTCAGTTTGGTCGCCGTGACTCCCAGTCCGGCCGACGCGCCTCCCAGCCCGTTCACCAAGCATCCTCATTCTGGGAGTGACGACTCCACAGCCCCGCCACTGGGCCACTGCATCCCGTCATTAGAGACGGGCGACGATCTTTTGGCAGAAACCAGCAAATCATCCCTGTAGATCTGCCGTCGGCAGTGGTTGCTAGATCGATGGAGGTGGTTGAACATCCCGGTTGATGCGCCGCCGGCAATGGAGATGGCCGTGACCTGTGAGAGATGGTGGTCAGCGGCGGTCCTGGTGGTCGGCGGGTAGATGAACGGAGTGGCTGTCAAAATGTTGGATGAGGGCTATGGTTTGTGAATTTGATAAATAATAAGGCCTTGAATGCAATTTCTGAAATTTTAATATCTTCCAATTTAGTTCATGGGTCAAATTCGTAATTATTCAAACTATAATAAATTTTAATAACTTTAGTTGACATTTGTTTTAAAATAAATATTATATTACATAAAAATCAAAAACAAAAAAATGTTACTACATTTTGTTAAATATTTTGACCGTAAGGTAAGCTAAATTAGAAAAAAACATTGAATTGAAATAACAGAATTTGTAAAAGTAAATAAATATGTTCGGACATAAATTTAAAATTTTTCGGATTGAAAAAATTGGGTTATTCGGTTTCGTTCGACATGTTGCAATTTAATAGTCACTAACGTGAATCTTGCACAACCTTAATGTGCAATGATATACATAAAAATAAAAAAAATGAATAATATTATTTTCTATATTGTTCGGTCTTTTTTTCTGATATTTCGGTTCGGTTATTTTAAAAAATAAAGTCGACATCAACTGAAATAACAATAGTTTAAAAATAAAAATAGATAACCGAAACGAAATATAAAATTTCGAACCGCGAATTTGAGGTCAACTGTTTTCGGGTTTTATTGTGCAACGTGATAATCACGAAAGTGCAATTCGTCTAACACTATTATGCAATTGCAGTAATGATCTAATCCACAACAAACTGAAATCAATATGAAATAATAGACTTATTTGACCTATTAACATTAATTAATTTGAATAATATAAATTATTAATTATTTATATTTTAAAAAATATATTCAATATTTTAACATTTATTTTTTTATTTTATATTAATTTTAATTTAAAAGACATAACATATAAGAAGTTGAAAGCACTATTGTGCATTCTCACAAATATTATCGTGCATTTCGTCTATTATTATTGTGCATTCTATTTGATTATTTTTTGTGTGTATCTCAATTTTAAAAACTTTATTAACGTATTTTAATTAACATTATTTTGCAAACATTAAATTATTTATATAATAAAAATATATTTATTATTTATAATTTTTTATTTAATATTTCATACTATTATTATTTTTGTGTTTTTCCTCAAAATAAACAACATATATCGCTAAAATATAAAAATAATGATTTACAATATATCAAACTAATGTGCATTCCCGAACGAATTAACGTGCATTCGTTATATCATTATTGTGCATTTTGATATTCACTAATATGAAACATGTTTAAAACTATTGTGCATTTTGCCCTTTTTTTCTTTTTCTTTTTTCCTAACCCCAAATCAAACTGAACCAATTTAATCAAATTTATCAAAATAACTGAAATATTTATTATTTATATTATATTTTAATTTTGTATTTCAAAAATATTATTTTATATTATTTCTATTTAATGTTATATTTATTATTTCCTATATATGTGAATAAAACAATATATAAAAAAATGGTATTTTGTATATACTTTCTCTATATTACAAATTATGCATATGGGCTAAATTGAATACAATCAATTTTTTATCAAATTTGCAAATAGGTCCCTGAATAATGTCAAATTCTCAACATGAAAACCCTACCACTCCCCCTACCCATCTTTCTGGCCGCCGCCCAGCCACCTCCCTGCCACTGCAGATGGCGGTGCCGTCTCCGTTGCCTTAGACCCAGCTGATATGGTCGATTCGCCACTCC